AGCAGCTGCAGCTGTCATGGTAGCCTCGGAGATGTTGAAAAACGGGTTTGTGTCAGGCAAAGGTTTAGGGGCTGATCTTCAGGGTATTGTTCAACCGGTTTCTTTGCCCAAAAATCTGGATACCTTTAGGCTGGGGTTCAAGCCTACAGTGGCAGATGTGAGACGGGCCCGCAAGTTGAAGAAAAGAGGCTGGGTCCTTCCCAAACCAATCCCACGCCTGTCCAGATCTTTTGTCAGGACGAACGTCAACAGGCAATGGCTGTCCAAGGTTACAGGGCCATTGATTGGTGCAGATGGAGACTTAAATGAAGGCTTTGAAAGATTATTCACCGAAATCAACATGGTAGAAGTTGGGGAGGGGTCCAGCAAGGCGGATGTGCAGTTTGTGGGGCCAAAGGCAAAAATCAACAATTGGATGGCTACTCCTTTTCCCATTCGGAGGGAGTCTTGGTAGTTGGCTCTAATTTTCCTTCCTGTTTTCTGGATTATTCCAAGGTTGTAGTCCAGATTTCTTTTATTTTTATTGTGTTCATCAAAGTGTGAAACCTTGTTATCCCGTAATTCAATAAAATAAAAAAGTTTCTTCTTCATTCCTTATTTTATTTTAATTTTGTTTTCTTCTTTTCTTTTTCTGTACAGTTCTCTTATACTGGTCTTAATGACATGGCGTGCATAAGGAATCCTCAGCCCAGTCTTAAAAATCAATCTGATTCCGAAATGATAGTTCAAAAAGTAGATTGTTATTACGAATCAGAATATGATAATGAGGATGAAGCCTTCGAAGAAATTAGTAAGGAGTTAATTCACTTCGAAGAAAAACCCAAACCCAATTTGAATGACATAGAAGCCATCAATTTAGGGGACACAGACAACGTCCGAGAGACTAAAATAAGTGTTCACCTCGAGCCAAAAATCTGGGAGGAGTTAATCAAAGCACTCATTGAGTACAAAGATGTTTTTGCGTGGTCATATGACGACATGCCAGGTTTAAGCACTAATTTAGTGGTCCACAAATTGCCCACTGATCCAGCGTTCCCACCCGTCAAGCAAAAGTTGAGGAAATTCATAGATAGTGAGGATACAATTAGTCAAGTCAGAAGTAAAGAAACATCAGAGGAAACACAAGGCAACAAGATAGTGAGGCAACAAGGCAACAACAGTCATATGACCAAGTTTGAGAATAAATCTTTGTAATTCATAGATTATAGTTTAGTCTAACTTCTTGTTTTCTTTTAGCATGGTGTAATAAGGAAGTCAGTAAGTAGCGGCAGCAGCAACAACAACAGTAACAGTAAATCCACAGCTCCACGGTAGTCCCAGCTACCAAAACTTCCCGAACTACATTGACCTGATTCCCTTTTTGCCAGGGATATGTAGGAAACCATTGAAACAGAGGTTCGGTCAAATCTTTCGAAAATGCTTCACACGGAGTAGCCGAACGGGCAAAAATCGCTCGTATCCGCTCACTTTATCTTTGCACGAAAACTCTTCGTGTTTCCGGACAAAGAGGGGCAGCTGTGAGCACGTGATTTTTGCCTTATATGAGAATTACTCCCAACAAAATTCAAAATAAAACAATTTTCCTTTGTGTGCAATTTTGAGAATTTTCGTGGCATTTTTGGATAATTATTTGTATTTGTCTGTGCATGTTTATTTTTTAAAATTAATAAAAATACAAAAAATATATCGTATTTGCATTTAGGATTTAATTCTACAATTAGGAGTAATTAAGTTTGTTTTACAAAAATGAAAAAATCACAAAAATAATGTATTTTGCATTTTTAGCATTTAATGTCCAAGTTGTGTGATTTTATTTAATTGTGTGTGTTAATTGTTATTAAAAGTTAATTAGTACTTTTATAAATTAATCTAGTCCTATAAGTTAATTTAGGATTTTTGGAATTTTTAGTTTTATTAGTTTAAGAAAAAGAAAAGCAAAATAAAAGAGTGTTAAGTTTTCATACTACACTTCTGTGCATTTTTGTTGCACATGCATATGTATCTCTAGTGGCCTACTGGGCATAGCAGCATGGTTGATACGGAGACTTGGGTGAGCTGCACTTCTCGAGGCGACCCGCAGCCAGCAGAGTCTCTTTCAGTTATCTGTATTTATTTTCTATCCAATGTTATATTCCGGACGGTTGTTGTATTATATTGTTTCTTAGAAATTTGCTCATGCATTTGTGACACCGGGTTCTGGGATGGTTATAGGATTGTTCAATATTAAGTTTGTTAAAGACTTCATGGCTATTTCTGTAAATTTCATTATTTGTTATTTAATGTATAAAGGAAAATGATTTCAGCAAATACTAAAATTTGAATTTAATTAAGTATTTTGGTTGGCTTGCCTGATAGTGGTGTCCGGCGCCATCACGACCCTTAGTGGATTTTGGGTCGTGACAATCACTATCACAATATCTCATAAGGTTGAAATCTCTAGAAGAAGAATAAAATAGCCCAAAATCAATCGTACCTTTTAGGTAGCGAAGAATTCTTCTAGCAACTTTCAAATGAGTGAAGGTAGGAGCTTCCATGAAGCGACTTACTACTCCAATCGCAAATAGTATATCTGGCCTGGTACCAGTCAAGTACCTCAAACTTCCCACAAGGCATTTGAAAAATGTGGGATCCACTTTTTCTCCTTCATCAAACTTGGATAATTTTGTCCCACACTCCATCGGTGTGGTCACGGGGTTGCAATCGAGCATGTTGAACTTCTTCAATATCTCTTTTGTATAGCTTCCTTGAGAGATAAAAATTCCATCCTCCATCTGCTTTACTTCTAGGCCCAGGTAGTATGACATGAGCCCCACGTTTGTCATCTCAAACTCACGGGACATATCTTTCTTAAAAGCTTCAAACAAACTTAGGTTATTACCCATGAAAATAAGATCACCAACATAAAGTCAAACAAGTAAGATATCTCCATTGTATGAACTTTAAGGTAAAGAGTATATTCATGGAGATAACGAGTAAACCCATTGTCTTGAAAATACTTGTCGATGCAACTATTCCATGCTCGTGGGGGGTGTTTTAATCCATATAAAACTTTCTTCAACCGCAACACTTTATCTTCATGGTTTTTGACCATGAAGCCCAATGATACATAGACTTCTTCTTCAAGATAGCCATTCAAGAAGGCTGATTTGATATCTAGTTGATGGATCTTTCACTTCATTTGCGCCACCAAAGAGATCAGCAAACGAATTGTCTCCATGTGGGCAACATGTGCATAGACTTCTTCATAGTCAATGCCTTGCCTTTGCTTGTAGCCTTTAGCCACAAGTCATGGCTTGTATCTCTCCACATCTCCATCAGCATTTTTCTTTGTCTTGTATACCTATTTCACTCCAATTGCTCGATGACCCTTGGGAAGAGTTGTTAACTCCCAAGTGTTGTTCTTCTCTATTGACTCAATCTCCTCCTCCATGGCTTGTCTCCACCTTTTGTTTGTAACAACTTCATCAAAATTCATTGGTTCACTGTCAGCAAAGAGACAACATAAGAAATCAAAATTAGTAACTTCTTCTGTGTCCTCATAGAGCTCTTGAATATTCCTTGTCCTTTGCGGCTGTTCATTTGAACTTTCTTGAGAAAAGAGAGATGCAACATTGGTTGGAGAAGGAGGTGGAGTTGTATCATGCACAAGTTCCACGGTCTCTGGTTCTTCTTCATCACCAAAGTGTGGAAGAAAATCATATGAAGTTTCTTCCAGAGCTTCCCAATCCCATGCCAATTCTTCATCAAATTCAACATCGCGACTTACCACCACCTTGCCACTGCTTGGATTGTATAACTTGTAACCTTTTGAACTCGTATCATAGCCAACAAACACATGCTTGACACTTCGATCGTCAAGCTTTGTTCTCTCTTGATGTGGTACACGAGCATAGACTATGCTCCCAAAGATTCTCAAGTGCTTGACACTTGGCTTTCTTCCACTCCATGCTTCTTGAGGGGTTTGATCTCTAACATTTCTTGTTGGAGACTTGTTGTTCAAATAAACTACACAAGAAACAGCTTCAGCCTAAAATTCCTTGGGCATACTTTTAGCTTTCAACATACATCTAGCTAGGGGTGGGCATATATCAGTTCGAACCGAAAAAACCGACCGAACCAATTTTTTTTTAATTTCGGTTTTGGTTATTCGGTTTTTTCGGTCGGTTTCAAATTAAAATTTTTAAAATTCAGTTTTTCGGTTTGGTCGTCGGTTATTGATTTATTTTTTTCAGTTAACCGAAAAACCGAATTATTAGTACATGGATTCTTTAAAATATATATTCCATACTTATATAGGCTAAGACCCAATTTTAAGTTCCATAAAAATCAGCCCATCCCAAACCCAATTGCCCAAAATCCAAATACGCTAGGGTCCTTCTCAGTTCACTCATCAGCTTCTTTTTGTTTCCCATTCTTAGGCTAGGGCTTTTCTTTCTCCCTTCTCTTCTCAGTTCTCTCTACCGGCAGTTCCTCCCCCCAAATATTCTAGGGCTTCCATTGATACACTGGTGGTTTTCCTAAATACGCTAGGGATCTGTCATTGTCGTCAAATTTCTTGTGGCGGTAAGCTTAATTTTTGTTATATTTCGCTCATTTCTTCTTCTTTTTTGAGTTCTCTACTCCTCGCCGATCTTCTCTTCTTTCCCTCATTTCAGTTTATTTTTTATTTATTTTTTCTACTAAAAGTTAGTATTTAAAGACTTAAAGGTGCATGCAACATATATATTGTTGAAAGAAGTCTTGACTCTTGAATGTGATGTCCATTTTCTTGTAATATTTGTTGGTTTCAGTGTTGTTGAGAGGTTCTAACTTGTTATTAAAACAAGAAAAGCTCACTGCTCAGTATTTTATTATTACGCTTGTATTCTTTTTTGTAGATGGAAGAAAATGGAAGTAGGGTAAGCGAAACCTGCGAAGGTGGGGGTTCAAATGATAGCATACCTAATACTGAAGGTCTCAGTCCAGACAGTCCTGATGAAGCTCCAAAAAAAAGGAAAGTGATGCAACCTAGATCTGATGCTTGGAAACATTTTGAGAAGTATGATGATCCTAGTGGAGCTAAAAGAGCAAAATGTAATTACTGTCAAAAAACTTATGCTGCTGCTACGAAAGGTAATGGTACTACATCAATGAACAATCATCTCACTAAGTGTCCCAAAATGCCCCGTAGCATGGAAAATAGTCAAACACAAATCAGTTTTCTACCAGCTTCAAATGGGGCAAATGAAGGGGTGCTTACCACTTGGAAATTTGATCAAGCACTTAGTAGGAGAGCTTTAGCTCAAATGATAATTTTGGATGAACTGCCATTTAGTTTTGTTGAAAAGGAAGGATTTAAGAAGTTTATGGGAGTCACAATGCCTCAATTTCAAATTCCTTCTCGTAGAACATTGACAAGAGATTGTTATGAACTTTATTGTGAACAAAGACATAGTTTGAAGAAGTCCTTCAACGAAGCATGTCCTAAAATTTGTCTTACAACAGATACTTGGACTTCTATACAAAGAATAAACTATATGTGTCTTACTGCTCACTTTATTGACAGAGATTGGAAATTGCATAAAAGGATAATAAACTTTTGTCCTATCTCTAGTCATAAGGGTGATGATATGGCATCGGTAATTACTAATTGTTTGCTTGATTGGGGGTTGGAAAATGTATTTACTATAACTGTAGATAATGCTAGTTCCAATGATGTCACAGTAAGAGAAGTGTCTAAACAATTGACTACCTGGGGAACTAATATAATGAATGGTAAACACCTGCATGTTAGATGTATGGCTCACATACTTAATCTCATTGTACAAGATGGGTTGAAAGAAATTGGTGTTTCTATCAAGAGAGTTAGACAAGCTGTGAGATACATTAGACAATCTCCCGCTAGGATTAGAAAGTTTAAAGAATGTTGTGAATCTCAAAAGTTAACTTCTAAGAGATCATTATGCTTAGACGTTTCAACTCGATGGAACTCTACATACATGATGTTAGACACAATCCAACAATTTGAGCTTTCCTTTGACAAATATAATTTCTTTGATATTGGATTGTTGTATCATCATATGTATGTGAAGATGGAACTAGTGCAGGTGATCTCAAAAGTGCTGACTGGGATAATGTGAGAACAATGGTAAAATTTCTTGAAGCTTTTTATTTGCTTACTTTGAGGGTCTCTGGTTCTATTTATGTCACTTCCAATGTGCATTTTGTTGAAATTTCTGAGCTTGATCTTATTTTGAAAGAGTGGATAGAACATGAAGATACTAGTTTGAAAGAAATGACAAAAAAAATGAAAGAAAAATTTGCCAAGTATTGGGGTGAACCTGAAAAAATGAACAAGATGATCTTTATTGCATCAATTTTGGATCCCCGTAACAAGCTTGAATATGTTCCTTTTGCAATTGTGAGGATGTTTGGAGAAAACGAAGGGAAAAAATTGATTTTAGAGGTGAAAAATTATATGGATTCTTTGTTTGATTATTATGTAAAAAAAATCCAATAGTAACATCATCTGCTTCATCTGGAAACATAAAAGCTACTGTCAGTGGTTATGGTAGCTTTTTGAAAAGAGGAACAATGAGAACAAAATTGGAATTTGAGAAACATAAGGAAGTGACCGGAGGTTTAGGTACTAAATCAGAGTTAGAAAGATATCTTGCTGAAGATCTTGAGCCTGAAACAGATGACTTTAAAATCTTAAAGTGGTGGAAAATCAATGAGCCTAGATTTCCCATTCTTGCGGAGATGGCTCGTGATGTATTAGCCATTCCTATTTCAAGTGTTGCATCTGAATGTGCATTCAGCACGGGAGGTCGCATTCTTGACTCGTTCAGGAGTTCGTTGACGCCTAAACTGGTGCAATCTCTTATTTGTCTTCAAGATTGGCTTAGAAGTGAACCTATTCCTATTAAAGTTGAGGAAGACTTGGAGTATCTGGAACAACTAGAACTTGGTAATTATTTTGTGTTTTGCCTTTATTATATTACAAATAGTTTACTTAACACTGATGCATGACAAAGTTTTCTTCAATATTTTCCTTAGATCTGGCTAATAGTGCAAAAGATTCAACTATTATTGACATATAGTTGCAACATGTACCATGTGTGGTAAGCTGATAGCCTACTGTATATTTGAAGATATAACATTGATATACTTTATTATAAATCAATTGTGTTTTTGACCTATAATTATGTCTTTCGTTGCAAAGGTTTGATCATGGCGCCTAAATGGAAGTGATGTTGCAGTAAATAGACTTCACTTGTTTCATGCTACTTAATGTAATTATTTCTCTGGTTTTGAGACTTCAGCAGCATGAAAACTTTCTAACTTTTGGATTACTCTTTTGGTTATGTAATATGCTTGTACTAAACAATGGCAACAAAGTAGCATAGATTCTAAGTTTTTTGTTCTCTCATGGCTGTAAGCAGTGGCAGCAAAGCAACATAGCTCTTTTGGTTTTTTGGTTGTGTAATGTAGTGCTCTTTTGGTTGTAACTACTAACTACTCCCTACTCCCTAGTTTATATTTGTTTTGTATGATTGTGGGATCTTGTATGGACCAAGTAGAGGTGTAATTAGCAGCATCCTTTGGTTATGTACTTATGTTTGTTAGCAACATCAATTGTAAGGTCTCTTTTTATTAGGATGATTTGAGTAACATGGAACTCATACCAGATTTTTGTTACCAGATTTGAGTAACAGGGAACTCATACCAGATTGAGAAATCAATGTTTAAATTGATGTAATAAATTGCTCCTTTTTCGGTCATCTCATTCCCAGTTCAAAAAATCCAGGCTTAGACTGAACTTTATAAAATTGGGCCTAGTGTAGTAGTGTTTGTTATATATGGGCTTAGCCTACATATAGTTTATGATTATGTAAATAAAAGAACAGATTTATGACTTAACACATTCAAAAAGTCCAAAATTTTGGAAACAACCAACAAATTAGTCCAATTATTAAGCAGAATAAGCCCAGCCCAATATGATAATGTTCAAACCGAAAACCGACCCAAAATAAACCGAACTGAAATTAAAAAATCGAACTGAACTGAACTTATTTCAGTTCGGTTTCGGTTATCATATTTACAAAAATGAAAACCAAATAACCGAACCGAATTTTTTCAAACCGAACCGAACCGACCGAACGCCCGCCCCTACATCTAGCCATATTAAGAATCGTTCGATTCTTTCTCTATGCAACTCCATTTTGTTGGGTGAATAATGTACCGTTAGAGGGCGACGAATTCCATGAGACTGATAGAGGTCATTAAAATATTTTGAAGTGAATTTGCCTCCTCTATCAGACCTTAAAGCTTTAATTTCATAGCCACTTTTTTTCTCTACTAGTACTATAGCAACAAAAACTTCAGATTTTTGGTTCAAGAAATAAACCCAAGTCTTTCTACTAAAGTCATCAATGAAGAGCAGAAAATATTTACTTTTACCAAAAGAAGGTGGATTGATTGGTCCACACACATCCGTGTGAACAAGCTGGAGCGGCTTGGTTGATCTTGACATGGCCTCCTTTAGAAAACTCCTCCTTGCATGTTTTCCAAGAAGACAAGCTTCACACAATTGATTGGGATGGTTGATTGATGGTATCTCATGCACCATGTTCTTTTCTTCCATTGATTTGAGTGCTTCAAAATTGAAGTGCCCAAATCGCATGTGCCAACACCATGATTCATCTTGCACATTAGCCTTCAAACACTTTGCACCAATTATCTTAAGATTCAAAGAAAATAATCTATTCTTTGCCATATGCACTTTAGCAATTAGAATTTCATTTGAATCTCTAAGCCAAAGATGCATAATTTTCATGTGGATGTCATATACCTTTTCAAGAAGTTGACCCAAACTCAAAATATTACTTTTTAATTTTGGGACGTAATAAACATCTTGAATTAACTTGTGGTCGCCATTTTTACAGGAGATCAGAATCGTACCTATCCCTTCGATTTGAATCTTTGATGTATCTCCAAAGGACACATTACCTCTCACTGTTTTATTGATCTTCACAAATTTCTCTTTGCATCCACACATATGATTGCTTGCTCCATTGTCCAAATACCACGAGCTACAATCATCCTTGTCTTCTTCCTTGAGTGCCAGCAATAACGTTGACTTATCTTCTTTTTTTTTTGTCGTCAACAAGGTTAGATTTTTCTTCAACATTGCTACGACATTTCCAAGGGTAACGACCAAATTTATGACAATTATAACACTCAATTTTTGATTTGTCATACATTTGTCTATTATTTTCTTGATAGTAGCTGCATCCTTTTCCGCCTCTTTGTCCACGACCACGACCTCTAAATGTTTGGTAGATTTTAACTTCATTGTTGAAGTTGTTACCATTACCCCTTCCTCTTCCATGACCACCACGGCCTCGTCCTCGTCCCTTTCTTCGATAGCTCTTTTCACCCCATAGTCCTTAAAGGATGCCTAAGTTTTAAGAAGTTGCTCCAGTCACACTTCTTGTCTCCTCTTGATCTTTTCTTCATGCGCTTGTAAAGAACCCACAAATTGCTTCACCATCATTGAGTCTAAATCTTTAGACTCTTCAATAGCACACACCACAAAATCAAATTTTGGTGTTAAAGTGCGAATGATCTTTTCTACCATACAGACATCTTTTATGTCCTCCCCGTAGCTTCTCAACTAATTTACAACAGCCTTCACTTTTGAACAATAATCCGAAATGCATTCAAATTCTGTCATTTTTAAAACTACAAAATCAGCTCTTAGAGTTTGAAGTTTTACCTTCTTTACCTTGTCAACTCCTTTGAAGAGAATTTTGTAAAATCTCCCAAGCTTCCTTTGAGGTGGTAGCATCTGCCACCTTCTCAAACATGATATCATCCAGACATTGGTGGATGAGCGTGAGGGCTTGTTGATCCTTCTTCCTTGTCTTTGCCAAGACATCTTTTTCGTTTTGAGGCATAGCTTCCTCATTATCTGGTTTTGCATACCCTCTATCTACGATTTCCCATACATCTTGGGAGCCAAGAATGACTTTCATACGTAGACACCATTTCTCATAATTATCTTTTGTGAGATGGGGGTACTGAAAAGACAGCGGACCATTATTCGCCATGACTCTGATACCACGTTGTTGGGAAAAATAATAATCCCGCCCAGGAACAATATCCACGATAAATCACAATAACACAAGAGAGTAACAACGACACCAAATCTTTTAACGGGGTAAAATACAATACCCGAGCGAAATAATATTTTCACTATAATATTACAATTTAGTAGTGTCAAGAGACTACTACAACTTCGAAAGAAATAACACTCTTTATTTTAAATACCTCACTACAATATTACTCGCACTCACTATTTATCTCACAAACTATAATCCGTGGATTACTTTTTCTTTATTGTGCTCTCTCTCATTTTGGCGTGTTTGAAATGAAACCGAATAACTCTATTTATAAGCAAAAGAGCCGTCCAACTGAGCCAATCAAATTCATTCGTTGCATTGCCATCTTGTTATCGTCCATTTCGACTTGTTGCACTACAACTTGTTGCCAACTTTTAATTTGTTTTGATTTTTCTTTTATTTATTTTTTATTTGAATAGGTCCCACACATGTAGTGAAAACAAACATTCACCAGAAGAAACAAACTCTAGCATCATCGCGCATAGAACTTAAAGAGATACCAACAAAATCTAAGGCATGGCAAATTCTTGTTGTAGATAATTGTAGTCGTTACCGTGCTAAAACAGAAATTAGAAAACTGTTAGAAGAAACTGGAAAAACTGTAAACAATAAGAAATATTTCGAGTCCACAATTTCCTTGTGCGTCCTTAAGGAATTTTAACCCCCTTACAAGTTGCCAAGGTAATGGATTAAATCCTCCTAGGATGAAACAGAATAAACCTTCCTGCAACAGTGGCAATACAAACTGCAGGATACCAACGAACTCAAAGAACAGAGCAAAATCACACTTATGAATTTAAAGAGAAACTGCGAAGTAGAATGCAGGATTTTCAGAAGGAAGTTCTGTAATTTTTCAGTATATGAAAAGAAAGCCATGCCTCGAAATTTATAGGCAATTGTCGGAAGAGGTATGATGTTTGTTCATAATGTGAACAGACATTTGAAAGGAAGAGGTATCTATTCATAATGTGAATAGAAGGGAAAGCAGCGTGCAACATTTTAGATTATACATTCCAGTTAATTCCGTTAATGAACTGACTGGCACTTAATTAATTCTTAAATAATTAATTAAATAAACTTTGTCCAAAAAATTAATCTCATCGTTCGATTTGACAAATCCAAATCCGAAGCCAAAGCCGAGCCGAGCGACAACGACAACGCAAGGCTTCATTCTCTACAACTCCTTTAAGAGCTCTAAGAAGTGATCCTATATTTATACACACAAGTGTAATTGTCCCTCATTGATGTGGGACAAAGTTCAATTGTCATAAATGAAAAAGTTCACTTGATTCAAATTTTTAAAATTTTTCATTTTCCTCCATTTTATTTTCTACCGTTTTCCAATTCACACTTCTAGTCTTAAAGCCCAATGGCTTAAAGTCCAACAATAATAACATTCCACCTATTTCGGCTTTTAAGCATTGCATTTATATGATGTCCGTTGTATCTACAGTTTCATGCAGTGGTTTATCAAATTCGCTTGTTACATTTTCAGATCTATTAAGTAACAAAACCATTTTGTTCAAGTCACAAAGTTAGATAAAAGTCAGTACTTAGCACGTGAATATTTATACAGAAATGAAAGGAAAAGAAAAAAGAAGAAGATAAAAGCCCCAGACAGTAAATATCCTTTCTATTCTTCTATTTTCATCTGATTTTTTTTTTTTTTGCTAATAAAAATTTTTAATCCAAGAGTTGTACTCATCTGTTCGATCAAATTGTGGCGTAAATAGAGTTCCTCCAAACTCCAAAGACTCGTGTCATTGGACACTAAAGAGAAGCTATAATTATGGACTAGACTCCCAGTGGTTCATGTATTCTCTTCTTTAAATACTAACGTGGAATCTCCAACATGAAATAGAGGAAACAAACCCTAGTACCATGGATAGAACTTCAGAATTACCAACACAAATTCTCCACAATATACTCTCTCGTCTCCCTACAAAAACTGCGGCTCGAACCAGTGTGTTGTCAAAACCATGGCTTAAAGCATGCTCTACGAACCCCCATCTTAGTTCTGATGAATCTTACTTTCAAAATTTTCAAGGTAAGTTCTTGAGAATTGTAGACAATACATTGCATCTCCTTTTCGATTCAAACTGATTGTGATGGTCTGGTGGATAAATGGTCAGATATAGTTGCAGAGAAAGGGGTTTCACAGGTTGCACTTTTGGCGAAAAGCAGATCAGAATTAGTTTCAGAAAGATATGCTTTGTCAGCTTATACCATATTTGCTATGGAATCATTGCAGGAGTTGGAGCTAAATCATTGCAAAGTAGTGCAACTAAAACCAATAATATTTGAAGATAGTAAAATTAAGTGTCTTTGAACATTGGCACTTGCCAAAATCTCCGAAGAGTAGAATTCGTGATGGCCAGAATTGACGATACCGATCTTTTCCAGCTCATACAAAAACTGCCATTCATCAAGGATTTGAGCTTACGCTTCTGTAAGTACTTGAAAATATTAAAAATCTCAAGTTCAGCCCTTGAGGTTTGTAGCATAGGAAATTGCGAATGCTTAGTGCAAACCATTATTGATGTGCCCAAGTTACTGTCCTTAGTCTTCTCCGATCAATTTAGAATGCCTTCTCTATCTTTTGAACGTGCTTCAAGCCAATGCAGGATTTCCATAGATTATCGCTACATGTGGAATGCTCAGCAGTTCATTGACTTAAGGAGATTTCTAGTTGAGTTGAATGGTCAGCCTGTAGACTTGACATTGTCTAGTACAAATTCCAGTAGGTTCCTCTGTAAAAGTTTGAGAGCAAGTGAAATAAGTGATCATCATCCCATACCTCAAGTCGAGAATTTGATATCTGTGTATCCAATTAGGTCATATTCAACTTACTTTGATGTCATCTTCTGGACTTGTCGACCCAAGAGTTTAGTAGTACTTAAGTAAGAGAGAAAGTCAAAGAATTATCTATTTCAAGGTAACTATTTGTTATTTAAAATGTATAAAATATAACGTGGAGACTTGCTTTGAGGTTCCTGGTTTATGTTAATTTAAGCTTATCTCAGTTTTCTCCATTAAGCATCGAATTGTATACAGACTCTTGAAGGGATAAACAAGAAGCAGTAGATACAGAAAGAAGTGAGAGAACGAATAGATTTACTATAGAATTCTAAGAGACCTCATGGCTGTATTTTTGTGATTGATCGACTGTGTAATTAGTGCTTTGTTGGAGGCTTAGCAGATCATAACACCCTTCTTAGAAGGTGGTTATGGCTCTACATGCTCTTTAGGTGTATTATTTTTGTTTGTTAATGGCCATTTTTTACATTAATTACCCCAAAAAAAAGAGATCAGACTAAAAAGTTATTGAAGCACGCTACTAATGGTTTCACAAGAACCAGTTTGTGTTTGGCTAATTAATTTAGAAATTACTTTTGAGCAGTAATTAGTGTTTGTCCAAATTTTTAAAAAGTATAAGTGTATTTTTTTTCAAAAATATTTTCGGAAAGAAGCTATTTTTTCCTCGTTTTGCTTGTACTCAAAAATACTTTTTTCCTTGTAAAAGCTTGACCTAATACTTCAACTTTATAAAAAAAAATACTTTCTAAAAGAAAGAAAAAAGATTTTGACCTTGGCCAAAAAGCGATAAGTCTCGACAAAGGCCCGTCTTTGAATGTTTCTATGCATGACATTTTCATAAAAAGGGGTACCGAAGGACAGAAGAGGTAAATTATGCAAAACTGAAACTTCAAATTGAGGGAATCTTACATAAATAACAGATTAGATTCACTGTTACATTCTCTAATCGTACATAATTATAATTATATATGGTTGTACACCTATTATATATAGATTTTACATATATCACATATTCCTCTATTATTTTTAATTAGTTTAACCGATTGAGTAGCGATTGTTCAGATTAATTCTTCAATAGTATACTTCAAATGAAACAAAAAATAATCATAAAATTTGACGCTTCTGAGCTAATTGTATGTATTTTTTTTTTTTTTTACTTATTCCACGATTGAATTCATTCTAAACCATATAAATTGGAGGAGACCTTTCCATATTTTGAGGCAAAAAGTAGTTGTTATTTCATACTCTGTAAGTGTTCTCCTCCACTTTTTTTTAATTGCATTTTCAAAACGTAGGCCTTCACTTTTTTCAAAGTCTTTCCAAAAATAAAACTAGTCAATTTTTAATTTTTGAAAAATTAATATCGTTACTGAGAATCATAGCAACTAAATTACTCTTTATCCCAAATTCAAGATTAAATTATTTCTTACCCATTTTTTAACTCTCATCTTAACAATGATCCAAAGGCAAACAGATATATCCCCTTTGCGCATATTGAAAGGCCTGTACGATCCAGCTTGGCAATACACAATTAAGGATATTCTACAACTCATGCAATTTTGCGAGTCTTCCATCCAACATTGCTATCGTGAAGTTAATCAAGTAGCAGATGAAAAAAAAATAAGGTTAAGTTGATTTTTTGGAAAAATATAGACTTTTGTAAAATGTCCTAGTGTAGTATCCTTGATATTTATCTAGTAGACACATTTAGATGTTCTAGAATATTGTGGGAAGATAAGGTTATCTAATAGACTCATCTAGATATTCTAGAGCGTTGTTAGAAGATAAGGTTTGCTAGAATCTTCCTTGTATATTATCTAGAATCATCCATAGGAAAGTATAAATAGGGGTTGTCTTGTTCATTTGTAATCAAGGAAAATTCAAGAAAGTCTTCTTCAATAACAAAGTTCTCCTTTCAAAAATCTCTCTTCTCTTTTCAAGCTTCCTCTTCTTTAGTTGAATCCTCCAATCTTAGTTAACGATCTTGGGCTAGCAGAAGATCTCCGAATAATACTCTTTTTCTGCTATTCTTTATATGGTATCAGAGCCACAAATCGGCTTCTGGATTTCAAGGTCGGGTTAGTGGTTGATTCAACTGGTTTCTCTAAATGGATTTGGATGGTCGTGATAATCGACTGGGGATGGAGTTATTGAACCAATCCAACTACAAGGTATGAAAGACTTGTATAGAGTCATCCCTTGTCGGTGAGGATTTGTGGGACGTTGTCAATGGAAATAACACAATTCCTCCTGCTGACGCACCGAAAAATAGCAATGCGCGTAAGAAATGGAAGCAGATTAATGTTAAGGCGGAGTTTATCCTAAAGAGGTCTATCTCTCCTAATTTATTTGATCATATTATAAGGTGTAAATCAGCTCATGACATATGAAGGACCTTCGATCGACTGTTCGACAAGAAGGATGAAGCTCGACTACAGATTTTGGAAAATGAGTTAGCTAACACCACTCAAAGTAATCTCTCTATCGCCGCGTATTTTTTGAAGGTTAAAAATCTGTGTTCTGAAATTTCTCTATTAAATCCGGACGAGGCTATCTCTGTAGCATGAATAAGAAGAATTATTATTCGTGGTTTAAAGCCATAATATATTCCCATTGTTACATCGATTCAAGGATGGGTTCAACAACCATCTTTGAAAGAATTTGAGAACTAGTATATCTATCAAAGAAGGGGAAGAAAATGCTCTTGTCCCCAATAAGAGGAACTTTAAAGGGAAACTTTCAATCCTCAAGTGGTTCAAACTCGCCAGGAAAGAAGGGGGAGTCTTCCAGTAACGGTAAAAAGCTTTTAAACTATTACCGTTGTGGAAAAGGCGGACACACAAAAAGATATTATCGAGCCAAATAGAGCAATATAGCTCAAACCAAGAAAGCTGCTGAAAAAGAAGAAGACTGGGGAAAGTGCTTCGTAGCGGAGACTCGAGCAATAAATGCCATGGCTTCCGTAATCTTTAAAAGAGGCTGGATCGTGGATTCAGGATGTGGGCACCATCTCACTGGAGATCAATCCAAATTCTCCACTTTTCGCGAATACAACGGACATGATGTCATTGTTACAACAGATAATACAGTCCATTATGTGGAGAAGTAAGGCACTGTTGTGATCAACGAGAAGCAAAAAGACACTATCACACCCTCAACAGTGTCTTTCATGATTCAGCAATGAAAAAAAATCTATTTTCTGTTGTAAATGCCGTAGATGCTGTTCTATTTGGCCCACTTGATGTGAAGTTCCTCCGAAATATCAAGGTGCTCAAGGCAGATATCATTCACTCAGGTAAGAGAGTTAACGATTCATATGTCTTATCTGCCTCTAATTTGTATAGTGAGAAGATGAGTAGCAATGATAACACACATCTGTGGCAATAAACTAAAAGCCATGGTAAAATTGAATCTAGTAAAAGGATTGGCTAACTTAAAAAATTTTGGTGGAGGAGAGGTTTGTGAAGGATTTCAATACAGAAAGGCACATCGTCTTCCATTTGACAGATCCTTGTCAAGGGGCAATGCCTCACTAGAACTTATTCACAGTGACTTGATGGGGCCAACAAGAACTCCTTCATTCTCAGGCTATTCTTCTATGCTAATTTTCTTTGTTGATTTTACTAGATTCACTTGGGTTTATTTTGTGAAGCATAAGTCAGAAGTTTTCAGTAATTTTGCGGATTTCAAAGAAACAGTTGAAGGTGAACTCGATTCCAGAATAAGGAAGCTGTGAACTGATAATGGCGGTGAGTGCACTTTAGATGAGTTTCTTTCCTTTTGTCATCAGCAGGGCATTAAAAAAGAGTTGACATGCACTGATACGCCACAACAAAATGGAGTGACTGAAAGAAAGATCCGACACTTAACTAAGACATGTAAGAGTTGGCTTCATACCAAGAATTTACCTAGAGCCTTGTGGGCTAAAGGTATGAAATGTGCAGCGTATGTGATTAACAAGATGCCGCTTTCTCCAAACAATACGAAGTCTTCCTATGAATTAATATTCGAAGAAAAGCCTAGCGTGAAATACCTCAGGGTTTATGACTCTATTTGTTATGTTCACATTCCGGATTCTCCACGGAGCAAGTTGGATGCCAAGGCAAGGAAATGCATCTTTGCCAGATATGATGAAATAAAAAAGTGATGGAAGTGCATGGATCCTAAAACTCATCTCTTTGTTATCTCAAGGGATGTCATATTCGATGAAGTGTATTTGTATTATGGAGTTGCATTGGATGGATCGACTTCAAAAACCTTAAATAATGGAGATTCAAGCTTACCAATTGTAGGTGCTTATCTAAATAATACAACTACCGAGGAGTTAAGATAAAGTGGGTGTCCTGGACCTCAACAACATGAAACTCAACAAGAAGATAATTTAAGTGGTTTGGGAAGGCGAAAAAGAACTATTATCAAGTCAGCTCACTTCAGAGATGAAAATTTTGTCAGTACGTATTCCTGTTTCTTTGCAGGACCAATTGATGATGAATAACCTTCCTCATTCGAAGAAGCTAAAGGAGTCAAAGAGTGGGAGCTTGTTATCGATGATGAAATAGAGGCTCTGATGAAAAATCAAACTTGGAGCCTTGTACCAAAGTCGAAGGATGTACAACCGATTTTTTTGTAAATGGGTTTACAAAATCAAAAGAAGATCAAATGGCAGCATAGATAGATATAAAGAAAGGCTGGTTGCTTGGGGATTTTCTCAAAAGTACGGTGAAGATTATGAAGAAACCTTCAGTTCGGTGGCTAAGGTGATCTCTGTCCGAGTTATGCTACCCTTGGCAGCCTCGCATAATTAGAAGTTATGGAAATTTGATGTGAAGAATGCTTTCTTATATGGAGAGCTTTACAAAGATATTTATATGGAGTAACCACCCGGGTATGTCTCTAACTTACATCCTGATTATGTCTGCAAACTTAAAAAGGTCCTTTATGGCCTCAAGAAAGCTCCACGATCATGGTATGGTAAAACTGCTCAGTATCTACATTTTTGTGGCTATGATGCATCGCACTCAGATCCTAGCTTATTTGTTAAAAACAAGGAGACTTACATATGACTGTTCTTTTGTAGGTGGATGATATGATAATAACAGGAAACAATGAAGATGAAGTTGCTAGGCTTCAAGATGAGCTTTCCATAATATTTGACATCAAGAAGTTGGGAGAGCTACACCATTTTCTTGGCTTGGAGGTGACAAACATGAACAAAGGGATCTTTGTCACTCAAGTAGGATATGCCATGAAACTTGTTAACGGGTTTGGATTGAAGCAAATAAAAACATATTCTACTCCTCTTGAGATAAGTACAAGGTTAAGGCGGGACAAAGGCTCACTTCTTGCAGATCCCAAGCCTTTTCGAGCTTTTGTTGGAAGTTTTCTGTATTTGACTATTATAGGTCGTACATTGCTTTCTCAGTGGGATATGTGAGCAGATTTATACAAAGGCCAAGAAAGCCTCACTTAGAAGCTGCAAAAATGATTCTAAAGTATATCAACTAAACATCAGACATGGGCTTGTTCTTCCAGAAAAAGAATGATTTGATGTTAGCTGGTTATACAGATGCTGATTTTGGTGGTGACTTGGATGACCGAAGATCTACATCGGGCTATATTTTTCTCTGTGGTGGAACAAGTGTTTCTTAGTGTAGCAAGAAACAAGACTCAATTTCCTTGTCAACCACAGAGGCGGAGTATAAAGTAGTTGCTCTTACTGCTCAAGAATCTGTATGGCTACAAAGACTTGCATTTACCTATATCAAAGCCAAGTGTGATCTATAGAGATAATCAAAATGAAATCAAGCTTGCAAACAATCTAGTATTCCATTCAAGAACTAAACACATTAAAATGGAACATCACTTTATCCAGGAAAAGGTTCTTTATCGAACTATCAATACTTTGGAAGTGCGAAGTCAGGAGAATATCGTTGATATCTTCACCAAGTCACTTGCTAAAGTTTCGTTTGAGTTCTTCCGTGACAAGCTTGGAGTAGTTTCTAAAAAATCACTTTAAGGGGGAGTGTGAAAAAAAATAAAGTTATGTTGATTTTTTTGGAAAAATATAGACTCTAGAATGTCCTAGTGTAGTATCCTTGATATTTATCTAGTAGACACATCTAGATGTTCTAGAATATTGTGGGAAGATAAGGTTATCTAGTAGACTCATCTAGATATTTTAGAGTGTTGTTAGAAGATAAGGTTTGCTATAATCTTCCTTGTATATTATCTAGAATCATCTTGATTCTAGAATCATCCATAGGCAAGTATAAATAGGGAGTGCCTTGTTCATTTGTAATCAAGCCAAATTCAAGAAAGTCTTCTTCAATAACAAAGTTCTCCTTTCAAAAATCTCTCTTCTCTTTTCAAGCTTCCTCTTCTTTAGTTGAATCTTCCAATCTTAGTTAACGATCTTGGGCTAGCAAAAGGTCTCCGAATAATACTCTACTTCTGCTATTCTTTATAGCATATGCATTGGCTAAATGGAGCATCATTCACGGGAATTGTATCTTTTATAATGGGAAGGATATTCCCAATCAAGATATAGGCCCATATCTGATGGATAAGATATAAATGGCTACATTTAGACACAAGAGAAGAACAAATTTTGTTACTGAATCCATGTAATTTTCCGTATAGCATTTTCTGGGAGCTCCTTTTGTACATAGGTAGACTTTGAATGTGCTTTTTGTATATTGCTAAGAAAACTACTCTATTACCAGTTATAATGATGCATGGGCGGCTCAAGCACATACGGGGCCTAAACCCAAAGTTTAAGATGCAACCTAGTGTCACACCTCCTTTTTGCGCGCCCGCCCCGAAGGGTAAATGCGCGAGGGAGTTTTTCCAATTTAAGTGACAATATTCGAAATGGGATTATTTATTTATTTCAGAGTCGCCACTTGGGAAAGGTTTGGCTTTTGGTGTCCCAAGTCACCGGTTTATCTTGAATCCCAAATCGAGGAAAATATTCGACTTTCCAAATGAAGTCTGCGAACCAGAAATTCTAAGTAAGGAATTCTGTTGACCCGAGGGAAGGTGTTAGGCACCGTCGAATCCCGTGGTTCTATCACGGTTGCTTAAATTATTATAATGGCTAGATATCTGATTTAATACATGTTATTACTTATGTGCTTTTATTAAGTTTAAGCCGCTTTTATTATTATTATTTTTTTATAGAATTGCAACGTTGTGAAAATGCATCTCGAACCACGTCACAATCAATGCACCCGTGGTCGTCAATACATTCCGACTCTGTCGAGATTTGAATTTGGGTCACATAAATGCGCACCCGAATTTTAAGAATGTAATTTAGTTAAGTCGCGCCTAAAGAGTCTAACGCATTGTTATCTTTTAGGGAGGCAGTGAAGTTCGCTAAACAGTCCATCCCAAGTTCTAAGTATTTATTATGGCCAATTATTGAGGGCCCCGCAATTTGCATTTTTATTTGGCGAGGCTCGTCTCATTATTTTTTAAAAAGGGTGAACCTACAGCGACTACATTTTTCTATTATGTTCGTCTCTAAAATGAATGAGAGAAAATCCTAACTCGTTACGAGCTTAAAAGAGGCGTACCATATTAAACGCTAGATTGAGATGAACATTAACTGAAAGGAACATTACTAGAAATTATAAACAAAATTGAGAACGATAAAATAATATATTCGAACGTGATTAACTATCCTATAGCTAAATTAACACTCGTCCTAATTGTATAAACAAACGAATAATTGTTCACGACTATTAGCGTTGAAATTAACCTTAATTATTAATGCTTATTCGGGAGTTTATTAGATCCAAGCGTCGCACCATCTTATTAAAACTCATGTCTATTAGATTAATGTTCTTAAAATTGTTGCGTTGTTTCGTACTTCAAAATATGTAAAACATGCCGATCTTATTAATACCCACTTTGTTTAAATGATGGGCCGATACCAATATTAATTATTAATCTGCCTGATAAAACTATGTTGAAACGAGGAGCCCAACAAGAGGGTTGGCATACATGGCTAAATTGTTGGTGCTAACATAAAACAATATGAAAATTTGTTTGGAATACATTTTCTGGAAATCAAATTAAACCGGATATAACGAGTTTGATAGTTCAAAGATCCCAACAGAAGTACACACAGACGCTTGCCATGATTCAGTTATACTATCATCACCAAATTAGACTAAATTGTTATATATATGGAGATACATCTGATTTAAACAACATACTATTTAACAGTCCATATCAATTAGAGTACATTCCAATTCATACGGAATAAATGTAGTTGGAATGAGCTTAAACAAATATGGGTTAACTATCATTTAAGCTATTTGCTATATTTTGAACACGAGTACTGTGAAGCAAACTACATTCATTTCTTCATTTTTTACTTCAGCTTCAAGCTTTCAACAAACATAGTTTCAGAAATGTGTACCTGGAAATGCTTACAATTGAAGAAGAAGAAAGGTCAGTAGAGCGAGCAGTAATTCGAAGCAGCAACAACAAACACCACAGCAACAACCAGCCAATACAAGAATGATTCAAACCCAACCAAAACTCCAAGATTTCGACAAAGAACCAACAGCAATAGCAAATGAACCAAATAACTCGGGTAACAGCACAATAACTCGAAAATCACCCAAGTGCCTTCAAAACTGAACTTAAATGCTTTGGAAAATTCACCAAAGTAAACTTAAACAGAAAATCAACTCAAACAGAACCCAACTCTATTTTTTTTGTTTTCTAATGTTTTTGTTTTGGATTTTGAATATCAAACTTCAATCTGGAAATCAGAAAGAAAGAGCTGTTTAGAGGAAGTTTTGATGGCTGAAATTTCTTGTTCTTTTTTTCAGGGGTCTCCTCTTAAAAATCTGATCAAGTCTTCTCATTTTATTTCCCATCCCAAGCCTTTTAATCAATTAATAAAACAACCACTTTCTCCTACCAAACCCACTACTAGTTAAAAAATACAATTATTATTTATTTAAACGAACTTTTCTTAAGCCCCGCAATCTCACTATGTCTTGTTTCCCACTTTTGATTAAACAAGTACATTATTCTCCACCATTATGTCTTATCCCCCATGCCTACATTATTTTAATATTATTAACAAATTATTTAATTTTAATGGACAGAGCACTCAAAATAAACAATTGTTCAGAATTTTAATTCCAAAAATACTCCTTTGACCTTACTGAAATTAACAATTTACCCTTGAACGTACTTCAAATTACCAAATCTACCCCTATCAGCTATAACCAATTCACCTAATCAATTCCAACCAAAATACAGCAAATACAACCAATTTCTAAACAATTTTCAACAACAAATTCAAACTAAATGATGAACAACAAAGAAACAACTAAAATTATTTTGATTGAACAATATTTTTAACAACAAACAAATCTACTTTCAGATTTAACAACAACAACAACAAACAAGTATATTCAGATTTCTAAATTCAATAATCATTTGAACTTAAAATTAAATCTAACAA